GTTTTGGAAGGCTGCAACCGTCATCCCTTCTGACATGTTCGGCAAGGTCATTCTTACTTTGTTAAACAGGGTGAAGAAGTCCCTCAATCCCCCTTCCGAAAACTGTTTAATAGTAAATATGTCGTTCACTCTCGCCTCATCCTTCTTGGCCCCAGCATGGGCCATTACTAACTTGTTGGCCATCTCTTCGAAAGTTTTAATGGAACGCGCATGTAGTTGCAAATACCATGTTAACGCTCCTCATGTGAGGGTTTCACAGAATTTTTTAAACAAAATGAAAGATACTTGTTCTTTGGCGAGGTCATTTCCTTTCACGATGGTGACGTAATGAGTCACATGATCTCCAGAGTCGGTCGTGCCATCATATATCCTGAGGTAGGGTGGCATCTTAAAGGTCTTTGGTATGGCATGTGGGGCGGCGGCATCACTATAAGGCTGCTTGACGAATCGACTGGCATCTCTCTTCTGCAAAAGCTTAGGGGCGCTTGGTATCTTATCGACCTTTTCTTGGTGTTCCCTCATTTGGTCCCGGAGTGCTTTGTTCTCATTCTCCATTTCCTCCATCCTTTTTAAAATGGCAGCAAGAGTGTCGTCGCCTGCACCATTAGCGACATTGTGAGTAATACCTGTTGTGGGAGGAGGAGGGAGTTGGTTGTGTTGCTCGTCTGCTGGTTGTATAACGCAAGTTCTTGCATATTCTGTGGCTGCATCCCGGGCGGGCTTGTTGAGCATATTGGTTAGCGTGTCGGTTAGCCACGCTTCAAGGAGCGCTTTTATAGCTGGTGGCATCTCCTCCCCGTAAATATGGAGGCTCCCTTACCAAGAGTCTTTGTGATGATACAATGAGGAGGCGGTGACCCATCTCGCCTAGGGGAGGCATTGGGCGTTGCGCCTTCATCTGCCGATTCGCAACTTTCGTTGATGACGTTCATGAGGTTAGTTCAGAGGTCATTGATTATTCTCGCCCTCTCTTCTCGGTTACCTTCCATGTTAGGATTTTGTACGTACAAAGAAATGAGATCTTGTTTTTTGCTTTCTCTTCTCTCTTTTTTTGTTAGAGGCTCGCGTTGGCTGTAGATCTAGAAGAAACTAAAAGCTTAACTAAGAAATCCCAACAGACGGTGCCAAATATTTTGACCAAAAAGTGTAACTTTCGGTTTAAACAGTTTAATATATATAATAATGGGTTAGACTTAGTTAATAATAATATCACTAGATGTTATTTCCAAAAAGGTGACTAATGTTGTTCAGATCTGGTGAAGGATTGACAACTATAAGCATTAACTATTCCAAAAAGTATGAGCAATAATGTAGCAATAACTAGCAATAAATAACAATAAATGACATTTAAGTAAATAGAAGGAGTGATTCACCCAATAAAATATGAACTAGTTGATTATCCCTCTTGACAATGATGAGTGACAGACAAATCCAGAATGTTCGAATTATTCTCGGATCTAATGGAAGGGTGTGGGATAATACGAACAAAAATCTAGATGAAAATGTAGTGTTTGTATCTTTGTAAGAGAGAGAAAGAATCTTCAATCAAAAGTCTGTTCTTGTCAAATAATGAATGTCACATGCCTTCCACCATTGTCTCATTTTCTATTTATATGAGACATTTTCTTAACAAACTCTAATAGTACCAGTGTAGAGAATATTCACTAGAATATTTCTTTTAATGTCCTATTTCGAAAACTAGTTGTTATAGCTTGGCCAACGGTGCTCTACCTCGACCCTTGTTGACATCTCGGCCACGAATCTCGCTGCTTCCTGGTCGACCTCGACTGGTGAAGGCTTGAAGACTCTTCCTTTAGCGTACCTTATCTTAAATATTTTATGCTAGATTTCGACATATACAGAGTGCTTTACCCACTTTATTGGGCCTATCTTGTGCAAATTCAAATTAGTCAGGTCAATAAATTTTGAATACCAAATGATTAAGCTAGAAGATGTCATTTTTTTTCTGAGTACTCTTGACACAACAAAGGTGTAGTACGTTGCGGCTGCACCAATTGGTTATAGTACGAAAATTGAACGGATATTTACTAGACTAGGAATCATGAAAGGTGAAAGGAGAAGGGGATAGCGAAAATTGAACCGATACGTATTGTGTGAGAGACTCACGATGGTACCACTGGACGACAACTTCTGCCGTTTTGGTGGTGATATATAATAGAGAGCGATGTATACACCAAGGTATTCACCAGTTTGCCCCCAATATTGCTAGAAATAAATGTACTCACTAACTTAATATCTTGAATTCTTTTCTATTTATATGTGCCAGAGTGTTTTGTATTTGTACAAATTAATAAGATGTTTACTTTTGTTGCTAGCGAACCAATATAATTAATCAATTCGATGAATTATTGGTAATTTACTCAGTATAAATTTTTATAATTGAATGCTAATATATATACACTTTTTATAATTCCAAGCTAAATATACTCCTCAGTACCGCTGGCTCGAGGCAGAGCTGAAAAAAGGTCAATAGAAAGGAGACTCCTTGGTTAATTGTTCTTATGCATTGCCCATGGTACAATAGCGACGACTATCATTACATGGAAGGCGAAACAATGAGAGTAATATATATGAGCCATGGTTTCTAAAGTATAGAGTGGATCCGTGTTTTAAATAATAGTTAAGTGACTTTCCTGTTACAAATTAAAAAAAAAATAACTTTAGTCCATAATTTTAAATAGTTGAGTGATTATCGACCCAATATTCCACCCTCTTTGACAGTTTTCTGGAATGTGTCTAATATTGTTACTTGCTTGTTAGTGAAGACGTACGATCTTAGCAATTATTTGTTGTGATCTGCGTGGTTACTTTACGATAAATACCTTCCTATAGTTTTTAACTATTTAAATTTTAATTTTAAAGTATTGAATTGATCTAATCTATTTAGTTTTAAATAACAATTTAATTGACTCTTAAAAAGCAAAAAGTGCCGCATAATTAAGATAGAGAGAGTAATATAATATATTTGGATGGTACAAAATGGAACACTTTAATAGAAGTAATTGCCCGTCTAATTAACTTTGTTTTATCGATATGTGTTCAATGCCTCCGTGATTTGGTTGCTTGATAGCCGCAGCGGTTTCAACATTTGAAAAATGGACAGTATTTTTTCGATAAAGGAGTTCATTAAAAAATTTAAATCAAAATAAAATCAAACTATCATTTAAACACAAACTAACAACATTTTTTTTATCAAAACTATGTTCCTTTAATAACTTCTTTTAAAAATTAAAAAATGCTAGTGCACGCATTTGAAAAAAGAAAAAGGCAAATATATCATATATCTTAATAAATAAAATACGAACTAACGATGACCAAAATAACTATCATATAATTTATTGGGTTCAAAATTAATTATATTTATTCAATAAATTTTTAATAATGACATTAGTCAAAGCTAAGTATTAAATTTGAATGAATCCTTAACTAACCCTCTGCGTTCCCCACTGCCGTTGTATTATAAAATTGTCAATACCAATGTATTAAAGACTTAAGTTAAACTTCTGTTTGGAAAACATCTTATGTTTTATATACTGACAATGCATTTAAGCAGTTCCTTACCCAACAACGTATATTACTTAAAAAAATTTAAAAATCACAATGTTAGAGAAGTCCACGTTTTCAATTTCTTTTTTTATTTGGGGTCAAGAAGTTCTTTTCCTCTAAGCTCTAATAAATCTTTATTACGAGCTGGATCTTATTGGAAGTGCTTCACCAGACCAATTCTTTCTCCAACTAATTACCTGTCTGAAAAAAATTATGAAAAAATATTTTGGAAGAGATGTTCTGAAAGAGACTTCTCGAAAAAAATATTTAGTTCCGTTTAATTTAGTTTAGAAACATTCAATTAAAGAAAACTTTTCGAAAAAAGTGGCCCAACAGAACACTTCCAAATTCTTTTCTTTTTAATTATGTAAAATGAACTTTGCTAGAAAACGACGGTCCAATATTACTATCATATGATCAGCCAACGAGTTAATCACCGACTTATACTTTACGGCACAATAGCAATAATTGCAAAAAGAAATAAAAGGGTGCGAGTTGCGTTTATAGGTGGGACAGCCTTAAGAATGTGAGTAAACGCCGTAAAGGAATTCGTTTCAACAAAAAATGTTGACATCACGTTGCATTTGACAATTGAAATTCGTACTCAAACTTTTGCCCGATTTAAGTTTTATTAATAGACTATGGTAAGTTGATGTTAATTTACATATTTATTTATTTGGGTTTGATAATTGATACTAACTATGTTTAGCTCAATTAATATATGAAATTCAAGTAGTAGGCTTAAGGAGTAGTCTTGTTGATTAATTGTATAAATTTTCTTTTAAAAAGATTTGATTCTCCCTCCTAAACCAAAAAACATGAACCTCTCCTGAAAACTTTCCTTTTTCCTTTTTATGGCAGTGTGATTAATCTCAATTAATTTGTTGGGATGAGTATTTATTATTTCACCAACACATGCACGTAACAATTTTATGTCAACTACTCTATTAGATATATCGAATCATTTTGTATGGCTGGAACCTCTCTTGGTTTAAGATGATCCGCCTTGTGCGGAGGGCACAAGCACATTATTTCAAACGACGTATCTAATGTGATATACACCGAATTTCTCGTTAGTGGAGAAGTCAACTCAATTTATTGTCGCTTATGAATTACTACTATATATATGATCATACTATTTCTTCATTATTTTTCTGGTTTTCCTCTCAATTTATTGCCGTTTATGAATTACTATATATGATCATAGTTTTTCTTCATTATTTTTCTGGTTTTCCCACTCGTTTACATGTGAAATCTCAGATAAACCCCAATCCAAATGTCTATTGTCGACTACTTAAATCGTTGACTTGATACTTATCGTACAAAATCAGAATATTCCCCGTAATTCTAGACGTATATCCTTCGAATACTGGTATCTAAATACTCCTTGGATACATACATATATATATATATATATATATATATATATATATATATACGAGCTCCTAAATTGTGAAAGTTGTGTTTTTGTTGTGCAAAAGTGGGTGTGTCAAAAATGGAGTTTTTCGGGCGTTGCATCGTTCTTGTTCTGGGTTTAATTCTCAATGAGTCACTTCTATGTAACGGTGGAGTCACCAGTAGTTTTGTTAGGAAAGTTGAGAAGACAATCGATATGCCTCTGGATAGTGATGTTTTCGGTGCCCCTCCTGGTTATAATGCGCCTCAACAGGTATGTTTAAAGTGGGTCGTTTTCTATTTTCTATATGTTTTTTTTTTCAGTTAGAGATTTTAACGAACACCTTTGCTGCATTATAGAGCTTTTAACGAACATCTTTGATGCATTATTGAGCTTGCTATGAACTTTTGATTTTTTTATGGATATCTTGATGCACTTTTCACTTTTGATTTTCTGTTTAATTTAATGAGATTCACTGTGGCCTTTTTACTTTATGATTTTGTTAATGGGCGAGAGGGGTCAGAAGAAAAGTACAGTAGAAAAGTAGATATCTTTGACAGACAAAAACGCAGTGGATATTTTTGGGACAGAGAGGCTGATCACAATTTAAATTTGATAGGTTTCAACCTTAAAGTTGTTAGTAATGAACTAATTGTATTCTTGAAATTGAAATTATTCAAAATTGAATATTTTGTCAAAATATTAGTAGTTTTTCACATAAAAATAAGTGTAGAAAATACCGAGTTCAGATTAACCGACAAATGTTGCATCCGCTTCTGCTCGAGGATAGTGTATAAAGTTTTATCAGATGTAACAAGTTCTGTTTATGCTTGTCTCATTCATGGAATTTGGTTTATTTGCTAATTGATTCTGTTGGGGTTTCTGTATAAGGTTCACATAACACAAGGAGATCACGAGGGAAAGGCCGTAATTGTTTCATGGGTGACTATGGATGAACCTGGTTCAAGTACAGTCCTATATTGGAGTGAGAAAAGCAAGCAAAAGAATAATGCCAAGGGAAAGGTTACTACATACAAATTTTACAACTACACTTCTGGTTACATCCATCACTCCACTATTAGGCATTTGGAGGTGAACATTCATTCTTTCTTTCCTTTTTATTATTTCTGAGGATAATTTTGGCTCCTTGCTCATTGTTATTCATGGTAAACTATTTAACCCTCTGAGATTATGTTGAAACTTACGATGGATGTAATACTTCTTTTGCAGTTCAACACCAAATACTACTATAAGATTGGGATTGGGCACACGGCACGAACCTTCTGGTTTGTAACTCCTCCACCAGTTGGCCCCGACGTACCCTATACATTTGGTCTTATAGGTAACAATTTCAACCAAATTATTGCTATTGGAACTTCTTGGAGCCTGCTTAGGTTATATTACCACTGCTTTTGAGGTTTCATTCATACTGTGCTTTCTCACAGAGTACTATATAATAAAGAGGGAATAAAGAAGAATGTTGATATACAATTTACAGTATGATCTAGACCCTATATCTAGGATTGAGAGATAGCATACTCTCTAGTTAATTGTGTGAAACAGCAGATTTCTGAGGAGGGGGGGGGGGGGGGGGGGGGGGGGGTGGTTATTATCCAAATGTAACATAAACTTTGTACATGGACATCATACGTATAACATGCTTCTTCTTCGGTTGAACGTGGTACAATGAAAACTTCTTCGCATATTTACAAAGGAAAAGGAAAATAATAGATAAAAAGCATTGATGTTGTTGTTAGCAGTTGTTGGCGTTTCTCAGTCGACCTGCATTTTATTACAGGGGATCTTGGTCAGAGTTTTGACTCAAACAAGACACTCACACATTATGAATTAAATCCAATCAAGGGGCAAGCGGTGTTGTTTGTAGGCGACCTATCATATGCTGATAACTATCCTAATCATGATAATGTAAGATGGGATACATGGGGAAGGTTTGTAGAGAGAAGTACTGCTTATCAACCTTGGATTTGGACAGCAGGAAATCATGAGATAGATTTTGCTCCTGAAATTGTAAGTGATGCTGAACTAGTTCTCTTCCTGCTTAAATTGTCTTCTAGTGTATTTCGTGGATGCTTTAAGCTAATATTTTCAGCTAGATATACATATTTACTGACGGCAAACTTAAAAATATTAGCTCATTCTGGACCTTCATCCGATTAACCAGAAACTGTGTGTTGGCACACTCTTGTTTTAGTGGATGAACCGAAAGAATACTTAGTTGCTTGAATTCAACATTCTTCACAATAATTAGTTTATCTTAGCTCAGCCTGAGATTCAACACTCTTCTGCTAGTTTGAGTACATTGAGTTTGTTGAACCTGGCATCTCAGTCTGTTCAACACAAAAAAAAAAAAAAAAAAAAAAAAAAAAAAAAAAAANAACTTTAGACGAACTAATTTACCAGAAAAAAAAAAAAAAAAAAAAAAAAAAAAAAAAAAAAAAAGGAGAAAAGACATTTGGCCAGCTTTGCAATAGAAGTGGCATGAGATTCATCTTGCATGCTAAACAATTACAAAATATTCCGAATGACTAATAATGAGCAAGAATCCATGCTTTAGAGTTTAGAGAGAACTGATATGGTTATATAGTTAATTAATTGAGCTCCACAGTAAAAAAGACTGTTTGTGCTTTTCCATACTTCTAACGTTATACTTTTTAATGTCCTAGATTTTAGATAGTTTTGTACTGGAATTTTGTTGAATACATCCTCATACTGCCTGCAGGGGGAAACAAAACCTTTCAAGCCCTACACTCATCGGTATCATGTGCCGTACAGAGCATCAAACAGTACATCTCCCCTGTGGTATTCAATCAAGCGAGCTTCAGCATATATCATTGTTTTATCCTCATATTCAGCATATGGTAAGGATATGGCATTCTTGTGAGTGATACGAGATTCTGTTATGCACTGCTGTTCGCTCTTTCTTTCTCTCTCCTTTAGCGTGGACATAGAAGTATTGGACCAGAAAACATGATCTACAGTCTGTTACTTTTCCAGTTCTTGAAGAATGTCCTCTTCTAACATGCATCTTAAGAGTAGCATTAGTATAGTATCAAATTCCAGTCGAAGAGTCATAATGGCATTTTATTGATGTCTAACTTGTGTTCGCATCCACCATGCTTCCCAATTATACGTGAGTGCATTTTACTGGTCTCTGATAAAGATTATCAGGAGAGGCAATTACTTAGAAAGTTCAGGACCATTGATTTATCTATTTTCTCTAAGTTCCTTTTCTCTTTCCAATTATTAGGTAAATACACTCCTCAATACAAATGGCTTGAGGAAGAGCTACCAAAAGTTAACAGGACCGAGACTCCATGGCTGATTGTTCTACTACATTCTCCATGGTATAACAGCTACAACTATCACTACATGGAAGGGGAAACCATGAGAGTAATGTATGAACCATGGTTTGTAAAGTACAAAGTAGATATTGTTTTTGCAGGTCATGTTCATGCTTATGAGCGAACGGTATGCACAAATCACACAGTTCTTTTTTCTTTTCATTTGATCTTTAAACATCTCACCGAGTTTGATGTAGCTACTGTGATAATCGTAGTGGCAACTCTTATAAAAAGATTTAATTTTCTATTGTATTTCAGGAACGAATATCTAATGTGGCCTACAACGTTGTCAATGGAGAATGCACTCCTATTCGTGATCAGTCTGCCCCAATTTATGTAACTATCGGAGATGGAGGAAATTTGGAAGGCCTCGCCACCAAGTAAGATTAATCAAATTGTAGAAATTTGTCGTATATATTGTATCTGTGTTTGTGTCAGAAAACTAATAATCAGATATCTTGTATGCTAATTTCAGCATGACAGAGCCACAGCCAGCTTACTCTGCATTCCGCGAGGCTAGTTTTGGACATGCCACTCTTGCTATCAAGAATAGAACTCATGCTTATTATAGTTGGCACCGTAATCAGGATGGATATGCTGTGGAAGCTGATAAGATATGGGTTAACAATCGTATTTGGAATCCAGTTGATGAGTCCATGGTATACAAATCATGATGATATACAAGAGATTTTCTTCTTTCATTTTCCTCGTCAGCATTGTGTAATTGATGCCTTGGTCTGTAACGAATAACTTTCGCCATTTCAGGCTCTTGCTGTTTCATAATGTGTACAATGTCCATCCTGGGATGTGGCAGACGAGGCCTTGTGAGGAAAACAAAATAATGTCGTAAATGAAAATTGAAGGATATATATTAATTCATAGTTACTCACTTCTCCAAACATGAATGTGGTTGAGGTTGTCAAATTTGAGTTGCAAACGTAATCCTAAGCCTTGCAAACGTGTTTCTAAATGAGACATATAGTAGAGGCAAAGCAAGCTGTTGTGTGTACAATTTCCATATGTAGAAAAAATATCCGGTAAGGGTTAAAAGGCAACATCAGAATACTAAGTGGCAAAACATTTCTTTCTTGCATGAAATCCAAATAGTGCTTCATTTTATACTACAGGCTACAATGTAACTGTCTATTTCCCCTTTACAACGTTAAAGGTTCTTCTTGTCAACCAATAGTTCAAAGATGTCGAACAAAAACCAGACTTTTCGGATTCATCGCAAAATTTCAACAGGTCAGGAAATTGACGTTTGGATTTGAGTTTAAGTTGTATCTATTTAGACTTGATTTGGAAGAATTAGTTTTGAAAAGTAATCATATTTAAGAAACTATTATTGAAGTTCTAAAATCTTGTGAATGCTTATATGATTGAAATTTAAGGAAAGGAAATTGAACAAGGAAAGAAGTAGGATGGAGATTCAATTTTTAGGAAAAAAGTTGGTGCTCGAAACCACAAACCCTTTGTGTGTTGTCTTACAACTCCCCAAAATGTTATTGCAAAAATTATTCCACTTAAATTCCTTTTGTACTCTTGATATTGGAACGACACACTTTTTTTCCCCTTTTTAGTCTAATTGAACCCTCAAACTTTGTACATGCGTCAGTTAATAAAAGATTGAGACATTTGAATGCCACAGGGGCGTAAATGAGATTTTGGGACGAGTAAAAGGGCGCTTATTCGCAATAGTTTTTGGAAGGCAACAAAGAACTGATATATTGTAGGAATAATGTGGTAAGAACATAAAGATAAGGGTGTGTTTTCGTTAATAATTTTAGAAACTTGGGGAGAAAGTGGTAATAACAAAAAGATAAGGGAGTTGTTCGTTACAAGCTAAAATATTTATAAGATGCACCATCACCAAAAAATGGCGCAGTTGACGGACACTGGTAATTGCACATGCGAAACGAGATCCTCGATTCACCATTTCTCCTCATCAGTCTTCACAATTTCACATTATCACAACTCCATTTTCATCCATTACCTGTTTTTTTTTTTTTTTCAAAAACGCTTCCTCCACGATCTGATTGCCGGAGGAGGCGATATTATTTTTTTGGATGAAGAAGAGTTCACCTGAATTTCCCCGAAATGGCGGAACCGACAATTTCGAAGAGCTCGCCTGAAGATCATGATAATGAACTGAAGGAGAATATTGAGAAGAAAAAGGACTCAACTGCAAATCCTGAGTTCTTCAGTTGTATGCTTCAGCCATCTCCTGCCAATTCGGATCCTAATTACATTGCAATTCGCCGATTCCTTCTTCATCGCAAAGCCGAATCCGGTGTACTTCGCCGCAAGGTGCACTTATTTCACGCGTTTTCACTAATACTTGAATCATGATTATATTTAACTGCAACATCGCTGTGAGCATGATCTGATTTCACTACAAATGTATACATACTTATTGTACGTATTTACATTTTTATGCGCATATTTGCCTCTTTTATGGTTTTCATAAAAAAATATTACGTATATCTGATTGCTTCTATATATTTATTCAGTTTATCATAGTTCAAATTACTTTTTCTGGTTTAGATGTAAAACGAGATGCAATTTCATTGAACACTTGGGTAGTAGGATCTATGTATTTGTTACAATTAGTTAAGAAGTAACCTGATTGGACTTTAATTCTTGTTGAAGGACTGGAGATACAATGGAAAAGGATACGTGGCTTATCGAAATTATATTAGTAGGCCAAGGAATTGGGAGAACTTGCAAATACCAAGCCGCTCGAGCACCCCAGGGAACAGGTGGTTGAGATCTATCTTCATTTCCTCTAGTAGGTTGCAACCTCAAGTGCTTAGGGCGCGTGATTAAGACTCATATTTGGTTGTTTACTTAGTACTTATTATATTTTGTGTAAATTTCATTTGTTGTGTTAAATGACTAAGAATACTGTTGAGAGGTTGAGTTTCGGAAACTTAAGCTTGCTAGTAAGAATTACTCAGTTGACTTAAATGTCCGCGGCTTTGAGAACTCCACAGATCTGTATTTTGGACGTCTTGTTAACAATACTTAGCAAGCAGTGGCTTTTGAAACTAGAAATAGTAAGAAACATCATCTGAAGCTTCAATTGGAATAATACCATCATATGAAGCCTAGAGTTTTTCAGTTGAATTTCATGTAGAGGTACCTGGACAGATTGGAATAATATCATCTGAAGCTTCGTGAAGCTTCAGATGCAAGGGAAGGGGAACCTTGGTGCAACTCCGTGTGACCAATAGGTCACGGCTTCAAGCCGTGTAAGCAGCCACTATTGCTTGCTTTAGAGTTTAGAGTAGTCCGTCTACATCACACCCCTTGGGGTGCGGCCCTTCTCCCTCACTGGGCTGCGCTTTTATACCTGTACAGATAAGCAAAATTTGGAAAAAGTTTCGAATTCATAGCCTTTATGTACACGGGCTATACATCAATTCAGCTGTCTCTAGAAAACCGATAAAACATCATGTTTGCCTTATACCAGGGCTTGCACAGAAGTCTGACGAGAATATGATGACGTTGCTTCTTAATCTGGAACTGTCAGACTATGAATTTATCACTGTACAGGAGGGGACCAAGAATGTGTTTTTTATTTGCTTGAAGCACTGGTTATTAATAAATTTTCAGCTCTTTAGGCACTATAAGAGCATGAGATGTTGGGAGAATAATCCTTTTTATATGCCCATTATTGATTGTGGAGGGAGGCAACATGATTTATTTATCTTTTGTTGCATGTACCTTTTCTACTGCTTTTGAGTTGTTTTGACATCATGGAACTTTGGGGAATGCAAAGCTTTACCAAGATGAAGCATTTTATTTATTTATTTTATCTTTTTTATGTCATTTGTTGAAGTTCGTACTGCATACAATCTGACATCAGGATAATTTACTGGTTGATGCATCAGTGGGCGATGGATGCCTTCACCAAGTCCAGTTTCCCAGTTGCTCGAGTCGGATAGCTGGAATTCTTTCAAGGTATGTGCAGCTTTTGGTTGTCTATAACTAATCTTTTTTCATACTTTTTACTTTAGCCCTATGGGCTATGAATTAAGTTTGAAGGGTTGATGCTAAGGTTAGTGCCAAATGAATTAGTCGAGTCTAGGTCCACACCAGCCATATGCGAAGTGATCTTGGCTTGTGACTCAACTAGAAGATCGGAAGAGTTTCTTTCTGGACATTATAGTTGCCTGACAAATGAGAATTCTGTTAGCACACCTTTCACCACCTCATGTTTATGCAGGATTTACGGAGTCCCAGTCAAGCAAGTCAAGCATTGAGCCGGACTACCAGTTACAGTTCAAATGCGAGTGATACTGATGATCGGCCACGTAGAAGATCGGAACCTGCATATTCCTTTGTTGGGATGCATTGCATTTTTGACCAGTGCAAGGCCATGGGTAATTATTTTGCAAAGCAGAATCAGTCGACCTCTTTCTTCATCAAACTTTATTATTAACTTAACTAATCTAATTTTTTAGTTACGGTTATAAAGTTTGGGCATATGAGTTCTGATCTACTTGCATATGGAGCATCAGATGGCAGTTTGACAGTGTGCAATGTCTCCATGCCCCCTTCAGTCATTAAGCAGTTAATAGGGCATTCAAAAGATGTCACAGGTTGGATTAACTGGTATTGATTCTGCAGTCTTGTCTTTAACTTCTTATTCATATATCAGAATTGTTTGAGTTGTACTTTTCCTTTGTTAAATGTGTTAGAAATAGTGGCTTAAATTTGTAGCCATAGTCTTATTTAAGTCGCAATCAGAGTGAGATGTCAATGTTGTCCAATGCAAAAAGTGTAGAAAAGCACCAAAATCTATCGGTGTTTTAAACTGAAAGCTCAATTCAGGTCTTTAGTGAAAGAAGTGCTGAAGAACTAATATTAAAAATAAATAAAGATCTATAAACACAAAATTTTATGGGTAGGAGAATTTTAAAAAATGTAACTGGTGAAGTATTGATATCAAACCATGTGGAAGAATTCAAAAACTCTCATAGATCTTTGATGAGATGCAAATGTTAAGTTACTAATTCAGTATAGTGCCTAAGTTTTCATAATCGAAATCTCTAATTTCCTATTTTTAATCCATTACTTATCCATTCAGTATGTTTCCGTGTGAGTACTAATCATTTTGATGGCTGTATTTATTGTTTAGTTCTATCTTACAAGATGAGTTCCTGAAATCAACTAAAGTTTTTCAATGATTCTTGGTTTGCTAGTTTTTGCTAAGGTGCACGTCGTTCACCATCGTTGAAGCACCACCTAAGCAATGTGAAGCTTAGCCCTGCTCTGCTTCATGCTTCAAGTCTCAATCACACCTTTGATAACTCTATTAATTGTCCATGATTGTCATTGGAGTAGTTTCTTCTTTTTCCTACAAGAGTTAGGGGTATGGGAATGGAGAAATGAATCTTCCAGTATTGGTTGTATTAAGTTGGTAGAAGCATAGACAAGATTTGACTGGATATGGACAGTTGGACACACAGTTTAAGGAAGAAAAGAATGCTTTTGACGCAAAATAAATTTGTAAAAAATACCAAAGTATGCTTAATACCAAAATACTTATTTGTTTTTGTATGTAGTGGGGGCTGTAGCAGAGGCGGACCTAGGATTTGAGTGCAGCGGGGGCACCGCTATTGATATAGATATGTCAGATAGTAACGACAAAATCTGACATGTTAACTCCTTAAAAACTTAGTGACTTTGAGTCAGTGACCAAAAGGATGTTCAAAAATATCAAAAACTTAGTCTAATAAGATCAAGATTGAAGGTATGTAAAGCAGTCCAAGCAGAGTCTCAGTCACTTTCGTTGAATCGATGGACGTCTGCTACTTTGTCGAAATGATCCTTGAAGGCAGAAGCTTTTTTGGAATTCTTTTTATTACTGTTTTTGGGAAAAATTGAATTACTTATTCTTATACATGTCAAGAAAATGGTAATGCTTATAAACTTAGTTATTAGGATAAAGAAGATGATTGGCTTCTTGCTAATGGTATATCTTATCCCCTTCCCATTTCCTTTAATATTTTTTTATGTCTCTCTCTATTACCTTTTCGATGTCTAGAAGGATATTTCTCAAAAAGAGTTTGAGACTATTTTGTGTAGAAGTTGACTATTATGTACTAGTGCTAAATAATTGTTCATGAACTTAGAAAAGATAAAGAAAAAAAAACAAGTTGAGCACTAAATACAGGAGATACTAATCTATCTTGAATTGAAAGAGAAAAAATATGAATGAAAGAAAGCGCTAGCGTTGCGTTCTCGAACCCTGGTCATGTAGTGAACGAGGAGACAAATGCGGCATGCTAAACCAGCGGAGCCAATCCAACTTTTGTGTTTTGGGGCACATCCAAGTTATTTAAGGGGTCCTTGTCGTATATACAAATATATATACATGATTTTTGCCGAGGCTAACGGGTTCCCGTGACCCCTCTACTGCCCATGTAGGTCCGCCTCTGTGTTGTAGTAAGGGCAAAACAAATTGCAAATTGGTATGGAGAGAGTAGCTCTTTTGCTCACGGGAAGTTTTTAGCACCTGCAGTAGTTGTTTCTATACCACTGTGATTTTTAATAGCATGGTCTCTTTTGCGATGCCTTTGTTCGACTTTTCAAGGTCGAACTAGTACTTTCAAGAACAGGTTTTTCTATGTTTTTTTGTTTCCATCATTTTTCTTAAGTAGTTTTTCGTTAAATTCATTTTTAAAATTTCTTCTTTTATTGATGAAAGTTATAAGTATAAATTGTCCCTCAATCATTTTGAATTCTTATCCATTTTGGATGGTATGATTGATGTTTTGGCTTTAGCACTGCTGATTCTGCTCCTATTGATATTGTGGTGGCGAATATCAGAGTTTTGCCTTATTTATTTTATTGTATTCTTTATAAGGTGGAGTCTTGCCTTGTTATCATTTACAAATCTGTCCTTTTCCAGATTTTGACTTTTCAACAAACAATCAGTACATTGCATCATCTTCAATGGATAAAACTGTCAGAGTATGGGATATTTCTAGAGGACTTTGCATTAGGGTGATATATGGAGTCTCTTCACAGCTTTGCATTCGATTTCATCCTGTAAGTGGACAAAGATGTACTTTTTTGTTTTGGTAAACATTTTCTGCAACCACCAGAGTAGACTTTCCTGAATGACATTCTTGATCGGTTTTCGGAAGACATGCTTGCATGCAAATTTCTTGTGTTATTGTGGATGAGTATTTGCATGCATGTCCTCCTCAGTTCGTGCTTGGCAGTAACACTAGACCATCTACGTCTCTCTTGACTCCATGTGCTTTTCAGCTTTTTTCTTTTTTCTATTATATTTTTGCAATTGTTATTCCTTCAGTAGACTGTATGACTTGTTGCATCAAAGCACCTATAAAATTTTCTTTTTTTTTATTCAGCTGGCTTGGCATTTATATGCATTTAAACAACTGACTAAAATTGGTTCTTTCTCTGTTGCTTTTTCTCTTCTTTTACAGGTGAACAATAACTTTCTTTCTGCCGGCAATGCAAAGAAAGAAATAAATGTAATTATCCTTTCTGTTTTTCTGTACGCATATTAATTGTTTAGATTTTACTCTATAGATTACTGTACTTATCCTTGTTGTTAGATTTATTTGCATTAATTAAGAGAATACTTCTTCATGGGTGCACGATAAATATTTTTTTATAAGGAAAAACTAATAGCTAAGGGCGCACGATAAACATTTATCTAACCTCCAAAGAAAGGGAATAGAGCAACAAAAGGAGGGAAGGATATTTCCATGTGCACAGCAGTCATCATGATTAGATGATTAGAGAGAGATGACGTTTCTGAAACACAATGCATTAAGATAGTATTGTTTTTTCATCCCCGAGGTGTTGGCTGAGTTGTTGAGGCATAGGAGTAATAATCTGGAGATCTTAGGTTCGAGTCCATCACAACAGTGCCCAAGCCATGCTGTGCAGGTTGATCTGGCATTTGTGCTTGTGGGCTGTAGTGGTTGAGGTGGACGCAAGCTGACCAGGACACCACTGTCTAAAATGAAGATACAATAGTTTTTTCATGAAGCAGCACAAAACAAGCAGTTTACATCGAACTGAAAGTGAACAGATGAAACCTGCTGATTATTAAGATTCAGATGAAATGTGGCAGTCATTGACTTGAATCCTCACTGGAGTATCATAAGTTGTTATAACATTTTCTGAGAAGCACATAAATCACATGGTGGCTTACACAATGAAGCAAAGATTGACCATAAGCTTGTATTTTATGAATCAAGAAAACGTACAATTTTATTCAGGCTGACATTCTAACCTACTAAAGTATTACTTTTGCTTCTAAATTAGGATTTGGATATCGTGTGCTTGAAAAGTAGATTACTTCATACTTACACCCCTGAAGAAACAGTGTCAGTGGACTCATACACATGTTCAATTATCCCTGTATATATTTGTTTCGCCATATAGAATATGTCACAGCCTTCATGTTAGTAGACTCATACACATGTTCAATTATCTCTGTATATATTTGTTTCGCCATATAGAATATGTCACAGCCTTCATTTCACACTTTATTTTCTCACCTCATCAAGCACTAAACCTTTAAACTAACATTCAGGTGTTCAATTTTAGCACTGGGAGAACAGTGAGTAAAATTGTTGTCGATGGTGAAGTCACTGCCATGGACCATGACCACACTGGTCAGCTTATTTTCTGCGGTGATGGTCAGGTTGCCTGCTTTGTGCCAATTCTTCTTTCATTACAGTTTCTAGTCCTCTCTGCACTAAGGCTTACTATTTTCAGCTTCATTATCTACAGGGATCTATTTACACAATTAGTATGAACTCCCATACAGGTGTGCTATCTCGAACTCATCGGAATAGAAGTAGCAGCAAGCATAGATCTGCTGTTACAACTGTTCAGTACAGGACATTTTCTCTGCTTGCACGAGGCCCTGTCTTGCTGGCTTTTACTCGTGATGGAAGTTTGTCTTTTTTCAGGTCAAACTGAAATATTTTTGTCTCTTGTTTTGGTTTCTCTTTCTTCTGAATTTTTTTTCTCAAGTCACATTGAAGTGTATTATGGGCTTGCAGAGTCTCTTTGGAGATGAAAGGCTATTTGACACTTAGGTGCTCACTGAAACTGGCTCCACGGCTACACAGCATTCGTGCTTCTTTCTGTCCTTTACTTTCCCTTGAAAAGGGAGAGTACATAGGTATGTATCGGATTTGTCAATAAAAAAATTGAATCTATTTACAAGCTGCCTCCAATTTTTAAACCTCTGCTTGCCTTTTTTTCCTCCTGAGGTCCTAAAACTGTAGTCATTTGGAAGTTTAGTTTACAATCAAGAAGATACTCAAAATAAAGAAGAAAATAGCGAGAGGAGTTTACAATAAGAGAAAAAGAAATTCGTAGGTACCCAGCTTATTTAAGAATTCTCAAGCAGATAACAGAGAAGAAAGTAAGTTCTAAAGACTTTGTCTGAGTTTTCCTACATGCATCTTATTTTTTGGAGAAAGAAAGTTCCAATGAGTTTATATAGGAAATCTTATATAAATGTCCCAAATAAGTTCCAACTTACCAAAACTAGCCAAGCACATAAAAATTGAAAACCCAAATAAATAAGGTTCTTTCTCTCCAAGAATCACACGCAAAGATCTCCTTCCATATTTTTAAGCGTCATCGGCAACATTAGATGCAAACGGAAAGAAAATTTCATAGATGAGATAGCAAACAAGGTGATGAAATACAAAAAAATATATATACAAGATTCCAAAAATCTAAGCAAAAAAGGACTTTTTTCAATGGGTATGGTTGAAATTGATTGAAAGCATATAGATGAGTCAATATACAAACTTTGAGGAAGATTGGAGGTGGTTTGGACTGATTTGGTATCAAAATTCGTAGTTAATATCGAGTCAAAAAATTCTTCTGCGACCCATGTATCAAACGTGTATCACGCATGTATCTCACACACAGGTATACATGGATATACATGTGATACACATTTGATACAAATATGATACATATGTGATACATAAATGATACACAGTGTGATACACATATTTTTTTTCAGGTTTCATCTTATACTTCGAATTTTCAATTCAAACCATCTCAAAACTCCGCCAAATCATCCCAAAACTGAGATTCAAACTTCTTAAGATTACCCGATTTATTCTAATAACACCCACTCAAAAGAAAGCAAAAATTTGACCATGTTTGGCTACAAATAGCTAATTGGCTAATATTGATAACATTTGGCTAATATTAGTAATATTTAATGAATTGGCCAATTTTTGTAATAAGCTACTTATAAATGGACATAGCTGGTAGTTTATAGTGTTTCGCTTCTTCGGGGTGCTATGGTAACATTTGTGTTCCCTACAGCTTCATGGATGTAAACAAGTTTTCAGTCTGCCATTTATGAATTTCTCCCAACTGACTTAGTTATCTGTTCTAACAATTGAAGTTGCTGGAAGTGAAGATGCAAATGTTTACTTCTATGATTTAACTCGGCCAAGGAATACATGTGTTAACAAGCTTCAGGTAGTAAAAAAAGTGTTGAGCAAATTTGATTCTCCAAACTTTTATCAATCTCCTCACAAGGAAAAAGGAACTAACACACTGATGTATTTGATTGCAGGGTCATGGCTATCCGGTCATAGGTATTGCATGGAATCATGGAGAGAACTTGTTAGCTTCCTCTGATTTTGGCGGGACAGTCATAGTATGGAAGAGAGCAAAAAACGTTTAATATCAAAGTCGTGCTCTATGCAGATGAGCTAAAAGCAGTTTATCTGCTCTGTTTTGGTGTGGAATTTGTGGGAATTGTAATTGTTACACAGCCATATCAGTGTAGCTAACTGAAAGTTTATCAGGAGAAATTCCGACTGCAATATCAGGCTTTTGTATGCTGATAGCACAATTGTATATCAATTTTTCCACTGACTTTGTACAATGAGTATATTTGTATGTCAGTGAATTGGAAGGAATTACAAGGTTTTTTCTTCAGTCAGAAACGACCTTTCAGTGCATACGTCAAATGCTTCCCCGGTTTAAAGTGATGCCCAACAGTATAGGTCGTACACGTTTGTGTATACCAGGAACCTTGATACCGATTCTAAACAAGTGAAGTGAGAATGCTAGACTAATCAGCTGGGGACACACAGCAAAAATGAAGAAACACAGCACGCAATGACCAAGAAAATGCCAAAAAAAAAAAGAAAAAAGAAAAGAGAGGTATATGAACCTTTCACATGTACCAAACACCCAACAGTAGTTTCCATAAGGGAGCTGTTAACAGCAGGGCTATTGCTCGTGGAAATGCCAGCACCTATTTACACTAAACTACTTTACTTTTATTATAAACACCCTATTAAGATATTCTCCAACGTGGAAGAACAGAAGAGAAAACCTACAATACATAATTACACACAGCCAAACACTTCCTCGACCTACTTAAAGGAAAAAGGTGCATGCCTATCAAACCAGTAGACAACACTAAGTTTCACCCAGTTTCCCTTTACATCAGTCCACATGAGAGTTCCTTCTGATGCATTTATAATAACCTCAATGTTTGCTTGCATCCGTTGGCTAAATAAGAGAAACGTTACAGTTCCTCCAGCATATGCAGAAGTATCACCTCCGTCGGCGTTTGGACTCAACCTGAAATACTCAGGTCAAATTCTGAAAATTGAGGCTTCAGTAACATATCTATAGGACAATAACTACCAAAGAAAATATTAAATAAAATCTACAGAACTCCAGCTAAGAGCTGATTTTGTCAGAGTTCTCAGTTCACTCCCACTGAAAATGATCAGTCATCCCAAAAAATATTAAATAAATCTATAAAACTCCAGGTAAGAGCTGTTTACTCTTACAGAAAATGTCTTTTTGGTAACAAAAACCAATGAATAAGGCACATCTGTTTTTGCTAGTTTATTCAGCACATCACCCCACCCCCCACCCCACCCCTTTTTCCCTAACGACATTTGGTATTTACTTTTCTTTGGCATTACTAATATGTTGCAAGAAATGACAGGGTAACATACAAAAGCTCCTACCATACCGTCATATGTAACGAACGGTATGATAAAGCAGCTTTACTAAGCATGTAAAATCAAAAATCATTCTTTTTTGCCTTTGTTTTTCCCCCAACATGTTTGCAAATGAATACAGCAAGATACGTCAACTGAAAGGAGGTTGGATTGTGGAAAGATGGATACAGAAATGTAACCAGGGTGGACGTGCTAATCTAGCAATCGGCTCACCTTTGTATCTGAAAGTCTTGAAGTAGCATGAGAATTTTGCAATTTCTTCTGATCTTCAGAGGAACAATTTTGGCAAAAGAAGTGGTCAAGTCTCTTGGCTTCCTCAGGCGTCATGTCTATGCAAGTAGGGTGGAACCTGGATTAAAATCACAGACAGTTGGTAACAGTCATCCAGATGTTACAAGTAGATACAAGTGATGTTACTAGGAATATGCTTTTTTGCTTAAGAATCTTCCTATTTTAATGACTTTGAATCATGCAAATATGCTTGGAGAAAACTTAATTGACGGCAGGTTTAGCCCTCAAACTAGCTGAAACAAAAATGATATTTTCATTTGAATCCACCCAGGAAAGCTGATCAAGAATCTGCTGCATTCAGCTCCTGAAATTTAAGCTGCAAGTCTGTCACATGTTTATGAACTGTATTAACCCTGACTAGCATTGAATATACTATTATCCTTCAAAGGTCTCTCCCACACATTGGCATCCTTCCAGAGCCAGATTTTCGCTGGGGAAAAGTACATATCTAGAAAAACATTTTGAGAGTCCGGAACCAAAGTAATGTGGAAAATTGGCAAAAGAACCATATTACAATATATAAAAAAAATAACTATTCTACCGCACATGGAAAATATGTGTTATATAGATCCAAGTGCGTACTCAAAGTTAACGTCCGTTACTAGGGACACGGACGCATATAGCGCAAAATAATGCATTATGTTGTTCTTCTCTGTGCCATACATTTTGGGGTTTAAATTGGCACACATGTGGGTCCTCTCTTCCTCAACCTTGTCATCACTCTTTATTGATTTAAAAAGGCCACGAAAGGGAGCAACCTTGTCCATCTACTCATTTTCATTCATGTATTCCAAATCAATTGCTTTAATTATTTTCGGATATTAAAGTTCAAGAATTTTAAGTGACCAATAAACTTTCCCTTATGAAACTGTTGCCCGTTCAATAAGCTTTCCCTTAAGAAAGCTCATATAATACTTATTATTGTTGAAAACTTCCTCCCCCTTATAGTGACCACCAGTAAATAAGTCATTAGGAAGAAACATGTTCTTGCAAACTTTTTAGTGCCAATGATTAATGACTTAGTGATGATGCTAAAGAATATGTCGTATCTTTTTTCTTCTACTCCCCTTTCTTTTTTGCTTCCTTCTTTCTTTTTCCTTGGCATGATAAAGGTATTTTACTAAATAAATTGTTCGTACTGAACAACATACAAAAAAAGGTATCATGTTTGAAATTCGGTTCTTGAAATATACAACCAAAAAGGTAAAATTCACAGAGGTTAATCGAGTGAATTCAATAGCATATCCACATGAAAATTAATATAGTGCGTGCAGGTCAATTTCAACTGATACAATATTTATGTAAAAGCCTACAACCTCTAATATACTTTTCCAACGGTAGAGGAAGAACTAAACATGAAAGAGAGATGGGAGGCAAATAACTTAATCATATTCTCTCATGATCAGTGGCCACGAAAATCTCATTCAAAGTCATTGGTGGGAGTATATTTCTGAAAATGTCCAAGTTCGAGTTCCATTGCTTCCTTCCTACTTTTTCCATCACAAATTAAATTACAAAAACGAAAAAAGCACATTTTGTGCCTCCCAGTTAAGCGTCTTAATATGATCTATGTTAAAGAAGTAACAAAATTCGTTGTCGTAGTGTACATGTATCAACATGTGCTATTTTAATGATCAACAAACAAAGTGTACTTGTTAAATTATTTTGAGAATATAGTCTTAGTAATTTTATTTTGATTGTAATTGAGCAAAATAGTTCGTATGAGCTATGAACCAGGTTGGAGAAGTGTTTCCCTTTTCATATAAGAATTGGGTTAGCTTGAACTAAGTCCTAATTAGATTAGCATACTACAAGGAATGTCACAAGCTGTTAAATTTTATGAAAAGCTTTCTATGAAAATTATTTGGTGAGATCTGCAATTCCGGATGGAAATAAACTCAATTAGATATTCTTACTTATAATATACAATGGAAAATGGAGGCACTTGTTAAACTAATTTTGATGTGTTATTAATAATTAAATTTTTTGTTACATAGGAATCATTAAGAAAAACATCAAGATAAGATTTTATAATTTTTTAAATTTTTTCTTTTTATTTTTTTGATAACCATGATGTCTCGGCCAGCTTGTGCGCACCTCGACTAATTCCACGGAATACCTGTCACCTCCCTCCAACAACAGGTACCAGTTAACTCTATCCACCAACGCATGGACAGATGGGAAGAAATTACCTAGTATTTTTCGTTTCCACTGGGATTTAATAAGATTTTATAACTTTAATATTTGAAAATAATTAAAAATAACTGTTTTGGAACACAAGAATGAAAATGAGTAGAGTAACACAATTTCCGAAGCCTTCTTGCAGCCATCCATTTCCAACTATGTTCGTGGCTTTTTAGTTTCTAAAAACAATTGAGTATCACATAATAAAGAGTAATGACAAGGTTGCTCCTAAGCATAAAGAACAGAGGACACACATGTGCGCCAATTTAAAACCCTTGAGTATGCACGTGGATCTACATAATGCACATTTTTTATGCGCTATAGGTAGAATAGTTCTTTTATCTTTTTTACATATAATATGGTTCTTTTGTCAATTTTCCACGTCACTTTGGTTCCACAATCTTTTCGTGACCGGTGCATACCTAGCGTTATTAAAGGCTTGACAACCTAAGAAGCTTAAATAATGACATCTTTGCATTGGAACTGATTATATCATTTCGAGCAGAGAATTATGAAGATTACCCTTCTTACGTTCAGTCATTGGCCCAACCTATTTTGCGGATAGATAGGAAGAAAAAGTTCAATACAAGTAGTGAACCAAGTATCATAGCTGCATAGCCATAAGAGACGCGTATGACCACATATATTAGTGAATGAAAATCATTCATCTGGACCTCTGGTAAACAAAAATAATTACCAATAAAAGAAACGAAGAAGTTTGCAACTGATCATTTAAGACCAGGCAGCACTATGATTTGGGAAGAGGGATGTGTCAGGCAGCACTATGATTTGGGAATAGGGATGTGTCAGGCAGCACTATGATTGGAAAGAGGGATGTGTATCAGATCAAATGCAAATTTTGATTTTCAAAATGAGGGCTCCAGATATAGCTCTGCTCTGCCTCTTACAGATTTCCAGATGCAATGACGGTGATCACCCTCCACTTCCAACCACAAGAGTGGGTTGCTCTAGTGGTAAGCACCCTCCAATTCCAACCAAGAGGTTGTGAGTTCGATTCACCCCAAGAGCAAGGTGGAGAGTTCTTGGAGGGAGGGAGCCGAGGGTCTATCGGAAACAGCCTCTCTATCCCAGGGGTAGGGGTAAGGTTTGCGTACACACTACCCTCCCCAGACCCCACTAGTGGGATTATACTGGGTTGTTGTTGTTGTTGTAATGATGGTGATCACCTTAATATCACCAATATCTTCTTTTTAATAAGTACCTTAATATCACCAATATAAATCCTCCATCCATTATTAGACTTCATAAACTAAATATCCAAATCTCACAAGCCATATAAATATGCGTAACACATCAGCATACATAATTAAAAATACACCAGTAACACAAATGATAATACAAAGATCTAACGACCTTGTAACAGGGCACTTACTACTATCACCTTGAGGAAAGTTTTTTCTGACACAAATAGGAAGGAGAAGGAGAAGAGCGTTTCCAAATAGGACATCAATTGCATTG